AATGAACTTGGTTTGGAATCCCAGCCATCACAATTGCCTTCAGGTCTTCCTTCAAGTGGTGCCCAATCTTCAGTTCACAACACGTTTGAATATCATGATCAGAGATCCCAACAAGTTCATGGAGTTGATCCCATGGTGTTCTCAAATATGGTTGCTGAAGCTAGACGGGTGATCCAAGAGTCAGAAGAGAAAACCCAGGGGTTAGAGCAGTTAGCCCAAGAAGTTTACCAGCAAGCATGCGCCCGCATTCAAGAACTTGTAGGACTTGCAGAAAGCCTTTACCAGTCCGACAGTAGCAAAGCTTCCGAGATTGAAAAGCTTCAACAAGATGTCCAATCTACCCGAGATCAACTCCAAATTCAAATCAATCGCAATAAAACTTTAGATTTTCAGATTGCTCAGTTTGAGTCTCAGATGTCCAATGTTCAAAACCTGTTTGGTCATAAGGATGCCGAAATCAACCGCCTGATGTCTGAAGTTTCCCGTCTTCGGTTGAGTGAAGCCCGATTCCAGGAGAGATTGGCTGCTTTGAGCGCCACTCCCTCAGTCGCAGCTCCAAACGTTGAGGCGCAGATGAGGCCCAGTCTTGTTCACAGTGTGCCAGGGAATCTTGGAGGGACAGTTGATGGTCGAGTTGTTGAGGTTTCGAATGATCCTGTTGCCAATGGTCTTCAGTCGTCCATGGAACAAAGATTGGATTCAATGATGGCAGCAATTCAGAATTTGTCAGACCGAATGATCAACTATGAGCAAAATGGTGCGGATTCCAATTATAGAAGTCCGTGAGGTGTTAATAATTTTGAAAAAACATAAGGGGCTTAATGGTAAATTTCAAACCTTGTTTTATTTTTAATGGCCAGTTTTATGCTCACCAATTTCTGTTCAGCGCATCCTGCACATATTTTTTGGCCCCGGCGCCGCTAAAACGCAAGAACGGACAACAAAAGAAAACGGATCTCTGCCTCTTAGGGGTTCTTGGGCCCGCCTTTCATTTTATACGCGTCATACGCACCCTTAACATCCCAAACATTTTACTTACTGCATTTGTAAGCAAATTTGGGCATCACCAGCCCCTACGTTGATAGATAGAAAGGGCGGCATTTTTTTCTCTTGGGAATGCTTCATTGCTGCTGCTTCGACATTTGATGCGTGCTTTTGGTGTGTTTTTTCTTTGTTGATTTTTTTGATCGTGGTGGTCATCATTATTCATGGTCGTCATTTTTGGTGGTCATCATTTGGTGGTCATTCTCCAAACTATTGTCGCCCACCACTAGGTGCTTTGGATGATGACCATGGTCGTTCTTCGCCTAAGCGGGTAAACCCATGGTCATCAAAGCGTCGAAAACAGGGGTAAAATGATGACCATATGATGACCGCGCGGTCATCATTTTAAAATGATGGCCATGGTCATTCTGGTGGTCATCTTATGGTCATCATATGAAGAACCATGGCATGGTCATCATTCCAAAATGATGACCACCAGTGGGGCTATGGTCATCATTTTGGTAGAATGCTCACCAGAACGCTCGCCAGAACGCTCACCACATCCCTTTTGGTCAAGTTTGTTTTTTTGTTTGTGCAATGTTTTTTTGGGAATTTTCAAATGCACCGGCCCGGCCATGCCGACAAATACTTGGCCAATCAAGATTCCACTCGCTGTTTGCGGCAGTGAAGGACAAAACACGAATTTGTGCATTATGTGGCAATTTCCTCCTGGTTTGAGTTAGCGGCGTGTTTCTGCCTATCACTACCACGCCGCGCTGCTGTTGGGAATGTTTTGACATAAGACTTTGTGGATATGTCCATATTAACGCTCTCTGTGTATGTGCAAAACTTGCTGGTAGTCAGTGATAAGCCTGAACAGCTCATATGGGTAAATAAACAATGGTTTTTGGTTCACTACCCCCCTGGCCCGCTCACCAAAAAAACCCGGCCGTAATTAACAGGGCTCACGGACTTGTATAATTCCAATCCTGTTTATCCCAATATCAGCCGCTCTCCACAGCCGTAAGGTTTCATCAACCCAATTGGTCCTCCTGATCCGCCTTCTGGTGACGGTGACTGGCCTGAGGATGAGGGGGGTGATAGTGGTGATTTGGTTGTTGAAGAAAAGACAGAAATGGATCTTGTTGACAATCGTGCCCTCCAGACTGCAAAGCTAGAGCCATTGCCCAACAATGCGGCCGACTTCAGGGTTTGGAAAAACACTCTGATCTTGATGTTGGGACGCCTTGACATCAGTGGCATCGACTATTTGACAAATTGGATCGCTGTTGCTTTCAGGGTTGATTCTGCAGAGGAGTGCTCAAACTCCTCAGGCCTTGTGCCGAGGCTTGACCGATGGCTCGCTTCAGAGCTTATCAAAGGTCTGAAAGGAGTTCCCCAGTTGCAGTTTAAGGTCCAGGGTTACATTGAAAGTTGTACCCGTCAAAGTCAAGCACCCAGAGGCCGAGCTGTCATTCACATGATCTCTCGACATTTCGACTTAGACCGAGTCCTTGGGCCACTTATTACTTCTCAATCGGTATTTTTGGTGGAACTCAATGGGTACTCAGTTGCTGATTTACAAGAGTTCTCATCCAATTTGATGACGGTTTTGAACCAGATTCCGAGTGAGCAATGGCCCAATCAACGAATGCTTGGAGAATTCCTTTTTCACAAGCTGCGGACGGTTCGTCGATTGGAAAGAGTGATTGATGATATCAAAAGGTCCCCTGATGACTCCACGATGTGTGAATTCAACTACCTTTGGGGAAAGCTGCAAGAGTTTCTTGTTGAAGAAAGAGAGGACGTGGTGACGTGAATGCTCGATCCATTGAGCAATCACTTCGTAGCAAGAAGAAACATGACAAACCAAATGCCAAAGGCGAAGACTCCTGCAGTTCCAGCCAAAGCTTCTCCAGCCAAAGCATCCGTTGCAGCCGCTATAAGCGCCCCAACACCCAAAAATGCCCCTAAAGGGCCTCCCAAAAGTGCAAAGGGTAAGTCAAAAGGAAAACCCGGAAAGCCAATGACAGTTGAGGAAAAGGCCAAGACTCCATGCATTTTCCATCAGATGCCCAATGGTTGTGTTCATGGGGATAAGTGCCATTATAGCCATGTCAAGGCTCCTCCTGCAAAGCTCAAAGACTCAAAGGCCGACCCGAAGGCCAAGCCAAAGCCTGCAACTCCGAAAGTTGCAGCAGCCGTTGCAATTGTTGCTGCGTTGAGCTCCTTTGTCACTTCATCCCAAGCCATTGGAGGACTTCAGTGGGCTGCTGACACTGGTGCTGGTCGACACTTGGTGTCCTATGAAGCCTTGCAGGAACAGGGATATCACAGATCCCTATTTTCCGGTTTGCAAATGACTCTCACGAAAAGTTGAACTTCTCGACAGGTGGTGGTTTCAAAAAATCGTCAGACACCATTAGATTTAAAGACTAAGATGGAATTTTGAGTGATGCCAATCATTATCTTTTGGATTCGTGTCCGATGGTCAGATCAATTGGCCTTGATGTGGAGCAGAATGGACTAGGATTCATTTGGCTTCCGGGCTCTTTGCCCTTTCTTGTTCGCGACCCCTCCAAATGCCAGCTCAACTGCGATGAGGAGAACAAGTTTTATGCATCAAGGGTCACACAACATGTTCCATTTTTCAGAAACAATTTTACCGTCATTCCTGGAATGCCTGCAGAACCTCTTCTCGGAAGTAGTGTCATTGATGTTTTGCCTCCATTAGATCCCGCTGCGGAGCCGGTTGATGTTCCTGAAGTTTTGTCAGTAGAGCCAGCCGTTGAGCCTAGCGAAGATTTTGGAAAGCCAAGCGATCCTGCATCCGTCGAACCTGAAATCCTTGCTCCACCCCCGTTTGATCACAATTTGACTCATTTTACGAAATTGTCCACATGTGATGTTTGCAATCGTGTCAGACTTTACAGCAAAAGGGTCAAGAGGAAGAGAGTTGTCAATGAAGATCTTGATCTTGCGGAGCCCGAAGCTTTTGGACAGCAGTTGGCATGTGACCATTTGATTGTCTTCAAGTCTTCAAGAGGGAAGGAACATGCTGTCTTGATTGTTCAAGATCGTTTCTCAAAAGTTTTGCAAGCTTATCCAACCATTTCAAGAGAAGCATCCCAACTTGCCTCAACCCAAGAGCCGGAGAATGAGCCAGATCTAGATCGGGTGTCCCTACTGAGACTGATTGAATCCATGCCCAAACCGTAGACATAGTCATGCCGAAAGCACAGACCTGATGCCTGACCACAGCCCAACCGTTGCAGCTCGGTCCAACAAATGCATTTTGCCGCTGACCGTAGTCTGTCTTGCATTAATTCATTGCTGCTCTCCCGTTTCACCTTGTTTTGCCATCGTCCCTCAAGCCCTCACAGCCAGTGAGTGATCCCTGTAAGAAAAAAAAGAAGGGGCCAAGCGGCAATAGCCCAATCAGCACGAAGCCCCCCCCCCAAAAAAAAAAAAGAGGGCCAAGAGGCAATAGCCCAACAAACACGAAGCCCCCCCAAAAAAAGCATGATTTTACGGCGCATGAATTCAGATGCATGGCACAGATGTCAACCGACATAGCTTCGAAGTCTCAGGCAGAGCAGCGTTTCACCGCAGTCATTGTTGCCTCCTTTCAAGCTGTTGTTTCTCCCTTTTCGACCAGAGTTTTTGGGCCAGAATGGCCTGCTCTGACGTTTTTTGGATGGATTTTTCACAAAGACCTCCGTGCTAGGAGGCCAGCATGAGTCTTCTACATGTTGAGGCGCGCACAAGACTTTTCAACAGAAAAGGAGTGTTGGAAAAAAACACACACACAAATATGCATATGATTATCTATATTTAGGTCACACATGTATGTATGATTATGTATGTATATATATATATTTAAGAACCTGATAGAACCCGATAGAAAGATGTACAAAGTCCGACCGGCAGGTTTGCACAATCTGAGTCCCGCTCTGTTGGCCGCTGTAAGGGCTTGTATTTTGTTGGAAAGCCTGTGGATTTGCACGTTGCTGCAGGAGATGCGACTGTTAATTTGGTGAGCCAAAAGCTTAGGACACGCTGATACAGCACGCATAAAAGTCAATTCTTTAGGCTTGTCGTAAGTGCGCCAGGTAGGAGCCTGAGATGATCACGAAACCAACGATTCCGATCTGACAGTGCCCAGTGGTTCCTTTCAATTTGATGAGGTTGCGTACCTGGGATCATTGCTTTTCGTCATTGGGATGGGTTGCCTTGGCAGCTTGCTGTCTGTCCTGGACCTTTTGCACGTGTGCACGTGGGCGCCCCAGCAGCCGAATTCTTCAGACGATAAGTGCAAGAGCAGAGACACCCACAACCCACCTCCTAGCTAGTGCATACAAAGGGTATGAAACTGAAACTAGTTTCTTCCTAGCAGGCTAGAATAGAAGTGGAATGTGAACTGATGACAATGAAAATTGGAAGTAGCGGATGCCGCACCTGAGTTGGGCTTATTCCTCTTCTCACATCAGGGGTTGCATCTGCTCGAGTCATTATAGTGGCTTCACCTATCCACCTGCCCCGCGATTAGAATATGTGGGAATGGGATGCCCATGGATGCTCCATGATGTATCTGAGGTCTTTGTCGGGCATAGCGCGTCTAAGTTCTACGCTGTTAGTGGACGGCAACGTGCACCCAGGCCTGGACCTTCCATTTCAGAGGAAGTTGCCTGACTCACTTCCTAAGCTTCCTTCCTCCATACGCCTTTGCCTTTGCCTTTACAGAGGCGCTGCAATCTATTTTAATGGCCCGACCCTCGTCCGCATAGCCGCAGCAACCGACCTTCAATTGTGTGCCTGGAAGTTCTTAGTTCTTGGGCCAATGTTTAACCAGCGTAGCCGTAGGCTGCGCTTGCTTTAAGGTCAACATACGTGCATTATGATACTGGAGCAACAGAGTTGCGAGTGCATGTGCTGAACTTAATGCTGCATGCCCACTTGGCATCACCGAAAAGGATTGCGGAAACAATGTCAAGATAGCAGCATTTGCCCAGGGCCAAATCCCCCATCTCCTGGTATTCTTCCCGCTTCAGCAACCAGCTTCCACTATGACTATGACAATACGTCTCCATAGCTTTGGTTCTGACAGGGAACATATTGTTGATGGAGTAGTTTTGTCAATTTGTTGGTGCGCCCAGCTCGCTTTTCGCTTTGCAGCTTTCGCGCCTTCATTTTCATGGAAACGCAAAGCTTTGGTTCTGACAACTTCTGCAAGGCCGGAGGTCTGAAGAGGCTGAGCATCAGTGCCAGTGGTGGGAGCTTGCATGGTCAGACACTCATTGCAGAGATATGCAGAGTAAGGGCACCTTCCAACATGTGCCAACCCATTTAAACACCATTTTTGCTCCAAAGGTACTTGGTCATCAGTGAGCATCATCAGTGCTTCAGACCGGCGGCTAAAGCCAGAGTCCAAGTCCAGGCTGAAGCCCAAAAAAAGAGGCCCATGAAATTCCATGAAGCTGTTGTGACCGTTGTGACCGTTGTGACCGTTGTGACCGTTGTGACCGTTGTGACCGTTGTGACCGTTGTGACCGTTGTGAGGTGTCGAATCGAGCCGCTGGAACAAACTCTTGCAGCGAGAGCTCTGTCAACTCCAGGTGAGATGCCAGGCCAGGTCGACTACTGTGCTGCGAAGCGTGTTGTCCGAAAAGTCCCAGTGCCCAGGATCAGACAGGGCAAAAGCCGTTGGCTGGTTGTTGCGGGACACCTGGCTGCAATGTGTGAACTTCCAGTTTGATTGTCACGTCGTTGTTGTTCCTGGATTCCTTGTGAAAATTCGCAGGAGCTCAGACCAGTGTCTTATCACTTCAAAGAAGGGCCAGAAGCAAAGCTGGCCAGGCTGTCATCCGGGGACTGTGATGCAAGGCTGATGGATATGATATCCCTTGTGCCGCTTCAAGTTTTGGAGGATTTTCGATCAGTGTGTTGGAAAGGTCTTTTAGGGGAAGGCAGACCGTTGTCTTCAAGCGCTTTCTTTATGGGCACTTTCGCTTTCGCGCAGCCCGTGAGGCTTCAACGTTTGTATTGGTCCATGTAGGGATGTGCAAGCAGTGCCTGAGAGTTGAATGCTGATGGCTTCTGATCGGTTTGAAATATTTTTGGGTTTTCCATCGCGGCGCCTGGGATGAAATTCCAATTGACTTGGGGGATGAATTTTTGTGCCCATAGCCATATTGTTTTCAGCCCTCTGTACATTATGATTCTGACGCACATCGCTTCCATGCCACCACTCTCCTCAGTGCCATGGTCTCACGAGCAGCCCTGTTGGCGCAGAGGAGGTCGGGTATGAGGAATGCTGCGAGCCTTTTCACACTTGTCGGCTGCATGCACACGGTGCCCTTGCTGCTACAAATTGTCTACCAAACCTACACTACTGGTAGTGGAATTACCCAAATTACCCATAAAGATCCAGAATTAAAGCCCATTCCTGAATTGTGAGCCGTGAACGAGGGAACGCATGTTTCATATGTCGGGGTGTCAGAGATCTATGCACAAACTCGATCAAACATGAAGACGAGGTTGTTGATGTCAGTGCAGTTCTGAGGGATCCAGTTTGGGACCGTTTACTGTACTGTAGCGGTGTTTCAAAGATCCTTTCTCTAAAATGCTGCTCCCGAGGTATATCCTGGCGCCCAGAGGATGCAATTTCATAAAGCCCATGTGGCCTACCAAAAGAGGGGCGAAGATTCTGCGCTGGGAATGTGACACACCTTTGGCTCGGGAAATGGCTGAGTATGTGGAAGCCCCCGACTTTCTGAGCTTTTGCATTGAAAATGCAGATCGATTTTCCAAAAGGGACTGGCTGGCATCATTGAGCCTTTTGACAGTCCGGAAGCGTTTCCATACTTCATTGCCACAATTTCAAACATATAGCCAACGTTTGCTATCGGCTGCAGAGCTGAACTTTCCTGAGAGTGTTCACCTTTTGCTACATCGCTATGGTGTAATTTGTTACGCCCCTGCTGTTTGGAGACTCTTACCGATCATGACCGCTCGTGTCCCGTGCATGACTCCCAAACAAATTGCCCTTTGTGCTTGGGGCTTGGGGCGAACTCTTGTTCATGAAGAGCAGGCGTGGATTGTTCTTGGTGGTGCCGTGTGCTCTCACGCCAAAGAGTTTTCCCTTCCAGACATCGCTATGTTTGCTTGGGGTTTGGCGGCAGTCGACCGCACAGCCCCTGCAGAGATCTTGGCATTAAAGCAGGCTGTGCGCCAAAAGCTAATGGGCAAGGGCCTGGAAGATGAATCCAGTCAAAACCTATGCATGCTGCTGAAGGCAATGAGCAAGCTAACGCCGGGTGACAAGCGGTTCTTACAGTGGCTTTTGCTCTTGATCTTCGAGGCTATGGAAGCTAAGACCATGCCCTTCGCTGCGCAGGGTACCACCAGCATTTGGAGTGCACTTGCTATTCTGAAATGGCGCCCAGAGGACCAGCAGCTGGAGGTGCTTTGTGAAGAATCTCGACAGCTTCGTTTGGATCACACTTTTAACCAGGATATGGCGGCTGAGATCGCTCGCGCTCTTATGGTATTGGATGTGAAGGATCCACGCCTTGAATATCAAGTTGCAGATTATGTGGCTCGCCGGGGCTTGTTATTGCGTTCGGATACCCTCCTGATTCTGGCTGAGTTCTTTGCGGCACGGCAGGTGAGCCATGACTTGGCCTGGAAGAGATTAGGAGTTCGAGTGCAGCAGCGAGGCATCGATCTTTCTTTGCAGGACATCGAGCGCTTGGTGGGAGCTTTCCGAAGAGCTGGTCGTGGCAATCAGCGCATCCATGGCATGCTATCCCTTTTCCTGAGGATTCGTGAGGATCAAGCCAAGTACGGAGCAGCGTAGGCGTAGACAAGGAATTGTGTGTCCATGCGGCATGGTTGCAATCACCTATCATGATATTGTTACCATCGAAAAGTTTAGAAGTCAAACTTCCGACAATATGGACAGATGAAAAGCAGAGGTGGAGGAGAAGAATAGAGAAGAGAAGAGCAGAATAGAGAAGATCAGAGAAGAGAAAGAGTCAGAAGAAAGAAGATGCAGGTGCGCGAAAAGGTAGGAAAGTCGCGAAACACTGTGTTTTCCAATGATTTGTGGCTCTGGAGGGTGGAAAAGTAGGCTCACTAAAGCGGCGGGTGCGGAGCCATCTGGGGAGGTGAGAGATGAAAAATTGCGCGCCATTGTGGCGTGAAGCATATTTCGAAGCCAAAATGTACAAAACGCCTCAGCTTCGGAAAACTTTTGGAACTTGAGATGACGAAAAAGTGCACGCCGTTGTGGCGCGAAGCACATTTCGAAGTCAAAATGTACAAAGCGACCACTTTTGGAAGTTGAGATGTTGAAAAAGTGCACGCCGTTTTGGCGCGAAGCACATTTCCAAGTCAAAATCTACAAAGCAAACCACGTTCAGAGCATTTTTGGACGTTGAGATGTCGAAAAAGTGCATGCCGTTGTGGCGCGAAGCACATTTCGAAGTTAAAATGTACAAGGCACACCACGTTCAGAGCACTTTTGGAAGTTGAGATGTCGAAAAAGTGCATGCCGTTGTGGCGCGAAGCACATTTCGAAGTCAAAAGTGCAAAAACATCTGACGGGTACGGAGCACTTTTGGACGTTCAGATGTGCTTTCGCGTGGCAGGCGCAAGGGATTGTGCACCTTGTCAAAAGTGAGCAAAACGTGAGGGTTTTGTAGCAGTTTCAAAAACGTTGGCATGCGTGGCACAGTTGAAAAGGACCTGCAAACATGCATTTCGCGTGGCAGGCGCAGTACAAGAGACATGTTCACCAGAGATGTTAGGAGGTCAGCGCGCTGATTTCCTGAGAGGGGTTGCATTTTGGAGCCTGAGATCTTCAGGTTTGCTAAGATGATTTTGCGTGACAGGCGCAGCACTTCGTGTGACCTGGCATCACTTTTTCGTGGCAGGCGCAGCACTTTAGACAGATAGAGTGGAAAAATCGCAAAACGCATTGGTACGAGGCCATCAGCTCTGCACTCAACTTTCAATATTTGAAGGAAGTCTCGCAAAATTGCTTCGTTTTTGATGTTGCCAACTTGAAAAATTGAGGAAGTCTCGCAGAATATATAGCTTGTTTTTGACGTTGTCAAGTTCAAAAGTTGAGGAAGTCTCGCCGAATAGTTGCGTTTTTGATGTTTTCAAGTTCAAAAATTGAGGAAGTCTCGCAGAATAGCTTCGTTTTCAAACTTGCAGATAGATAGATAAATAGATAGATAGGTAGATAGATGGATAGATGATAGATAGATAAACAGGAAGACAAATAGATAAACAGAATTAAACAGATATATAGATAGACAGCTGCAACTGCACTACCACTACAACTACAACTTCAACTACACTTCAACTACAAGCAATACAGCTACAACCACAACTACAACCTCATCTACGCTTCAGCTACAACTACAACCTCAGCTACAATGACTACAACTACAACTACAATTACAAGTGCCACTACAACTACAACGACAGCTGCAGCAGCAACTACAACTACGCTGCAACTGCAACTGCAACTACAGCTGCAACTACAACTACAACTACAACTACAACTTCAGCTACACTGCAACTACGCTTCAACTACAGCTTCAACTTCAACTTCAAATGCGCTACTACAACAGCAATTACCACGACCCTACACTACAACTACAACGACAACTACAACTTCAACTACGCTACAGCTACAACTACACTACAACTACTACTACACTACAGCTACAAATGCAACTACAACTACAACTCCTACAACTATTGCAACAACTACAACTACTACAACTAACGACAATTACAATTTCAACTACACTTCAACTACACTACAACTAGAACTACAACCACAGCTACAACTACAACATTACAACTTCAACAACATCAACCCCACTACAACTACAACTACAACTACTGCACTACACCACACTACATGAGGGGGCCGTTGCAACCACTGCAGCCACTCCAAAAAAATAAACTCCAACCACCTTTCGGTCCATCAGGGAATTCGCCCTGCCATCCATGCATCGCAACAACTCACCTCTCCTATAGTGTCCTATCTTTGAAACTCCGCCACCGCCTTGTGCGGTACCACTGGTATAATGTTATATAGTTAAATCGTTATCCCAGGACAAGGTAGACACATAAAATCTTACCATTCCTGGTTTCCAACTTTTCTATCCACTTTGGGGTCGCTATATGGCTGTTCAGGTCGTTCCGTTCAAGCCGCCTCAAGCGCTTTGACGTGGGTTCCTTCTATATAACTCAATAGTTAGTTTTTGGGTGATCTACTCGGCGCAATGATTTCCTGAACCAGGTAGTTATCCAGTTTGAGCATTGAAAGAACATGAAAGAAAGGAACCCGCATTCAAATTGTTCACGCCATGGGCAGCTAGCACACCTTGCATTATTTGACGTTCCCTCTAACATTTAGCTCACACGCTGGGTGGCGATATCTTAGAGTTTTGAAATTCAGCGTGGTCACAAATACATACGAAATGCTCTACCTTTCTACAATCTGAAACCCAAACATGCAGTGGCAAAATGGTGAAAACACCGCAATACGCGAGCTGGTTTAATTCTCCCCTCCCGTTCGTTAGCCTCGGCGACCGTATGTGTATGTGTGTGCATTTGTATTCATATTACATACTTATATAATCTTATATGTATATATATATATGACATATATATATAATCGATTATTAAATAAATAGATAAATAAATAAAAAACAAACAAATCAACAAATAAATAAATAAATAAATAGATAAAAAAATATATATACACGCAGTTTCTTGAGTTTTCTTGGCCTACGGCTTGCAGCAGTTGGCAGGCATGGTTTCATAGCTCAAGAACTGGAGAAAGTCATGCCAGAGCTTGTTCGAGACCACAAGGACTCGGTTGAACAAACCAGTTACAAATGATAGAATGAATTCTGCAGTTCAGCTGCCAAAGGATCGAAAACATGTGGTATACCAAGACCTGGTGGCACTTCTGACTCTGGCGTCGCAGGCCGCATCTACAGGATCAGAGGATGTTGATTTTTTGATGGTTTTTGTGGCAGAACACCTTTCAATCCTTTTGTCCAAGAGGTCCAGCAGGGTCGCCTGGAAGAATACGAGGCTCGAGCCCGCAAACGGGCCGAAAAACTCAAAGAACAGGCCAGCCGCAAAAAATAAAGCCGTACTGAGAGGACCCTGCCAACTCGCAGGATTCAAGATGATCTATGATCCAAGAGGGTCCAAGTTTCCAAGATGATCAAAACTTGGCTCTGAGGACTCCCTGCTAGCCAAGCTGACCAGAGCCGTTACTGGGCTAGGGGCGAGGCGATTGTAGCTTTGCGGCTGGGGGGGAGCTGGGGCACATTGTCTGGTGATGTCCAGCACATGGTTAATTTTCAGGCATCAGTGACAAGATTCACAAGAGTGTAAGAGAGCTGAACTTGCCACTGGTTCAGTATTGCGCGCTGGGAAGATTCCATCCGGCCACGTTCGAACGTGAGGGTCTTAGCTGTGTCGGGGGCCAGCTATATTTTCTGTAGGAAGTCAGCCGACATTTGCTTATACTTGGCTCACAATACGTTCCTTCTTAGGCCATAGGGCCATACTTCTGAAATTGCCAGGCCGAGCGGTCAAACTGAAGCGGCTGTGAGGCAGGCAACTCAGACTATCAGCTTGTTTCCTTGAGCTTTGCATGTATGATATCATGGTAGAGAAAGGTGGGCCCTTTGCTCCAAAACACGGCGGATTTTGGAAATCCTTCTGTAGGTGGCCTGCCCCTGATAATGTGACTGGCGAGTTGCAAATCGCCCCATGTGTAAAAGGGAGCTGGCGAAGCTGCGCAGCCATGTGATTCGATGTTCCTCCGCCGGTGAAAGATGCTTGGACAAGACCCACCCAAGGGCCAATGACTAGGCCATGACCAGGCAATGACTACTGTAGGTCATGACTAGCTTGTGACTGATGCAGCTTTTAGTGGCCCCAGCCAAGCTTTTCATGGCCAGCCTTTCAAGCAAAGCGGCACAAAGCTTCTTGCCTGAATATTTGGCTGTCTGGAAGCCTGTGCGCACCGTGGGCCACTAGCAATTTGAGGTCACCATGCCGCAAGCAGTGTGTGCAAAGAATTGATCAACTTGGCTGCACCGGACTCTGGAGCTGTTCGAGTTGTCTTCTGCGAGGCATCGTGAGTGAAACCTTCAAGCAATCGAGACGCAGACTCATAGACACGGACATTGCAACATTTGCGACATCTTGCGACATATCGATGGTTTCAACGACATGACTACTATAGGCTACCAAGTCGCTGGACAAAGGAAACATTTTTCGTGCGTGTGATTTCATAATATTTCATATGTATATATAGTTTATATATATATATATATGAGTGTGTGTGTACAGGTGATATATATATATGTATCTATTTGTTTATCTGTAGATTTATTCTTTGCATTTGGATGTTGGACTTTGGCTATTGCCGATTCCCTTTCATTCCACGCAAGGCCGAGGATGCCCAGGTGTCTGATGTGTACAGCTTCCTGGGAAGCAAAAGGCTGGTAGATCCAGTGCCTCAGCAGCATTGCCATGCTGTGCCATGCTGTGCCATGCTGTGCCATGCTGTGCCATGCTATGCTGTCGTCCATTGCCATCCCATGTGCTGCAGATTTGGGGGTTGAGGTCTTGCAGGGCGATCATGCAGTTCTTTGTTGCATTGGGAGCGACTCGGAAGCAGATTGCAAGATATTCAAGATGAGTCAATATCTTGAAAAGAACTTGAAAAGAACTAAAACAACAACAGTTCCTGAAGTTTGACCATGTTTGGCCAGTCACGGTTCATGGGCAGTACATCTTTTTCATACTGAGATTCTGCGCTGGGGTTGCAGCTCATGGGAGACCTCTTCCGTGCTGCAGCTTCTGACATGATGACTGCACCTCAGGTTTGTGATGTAATTACCTGCTACATTCTGCATGAATGCTCGAAAAGAAAAAGCACATCAACAAAGCCAATAGTTTGCGCTTGTCCCTGTATGTATCTAAGTGACTTGCCATCCATTATCAAACAGCTAATCTTCAAAAAACCAAAGCACGGGGCATCAGATTCTTCAGTCGGACATCGATGTACTGAGGAGTGGAGCTGAGAAGCTCACATCTCAGAGGCTCTTGCGGCTCGGAGTATCCTTGCTGTGCCAAGAGGACATTGCAGACGTACTGCCAACAGCCCCCAACAGCCCGATGGTGACATCATTTGTTCCACCCCGCAGGAGTCTGAGCAATCATGGATAGACGCTATCTCTGGAAAAAACATTGCAACTTGGCTGGGGAAGTTTATCAGCATGTTTCCGACTTCACTTATTCACTTGCCTTTGCTTTTGGAGGACCCATTCATGCTGGATGACAACGTCACTTGGAATGCAGACGCCATGTGGTTCCAGGAATGAATGAAGCATCACTTGGTGTGGCTTTAACATGCCAGCTGCCTCATGTATCAGGCCTTCGTTTGCACTAGTCAGCCCCTCCAGCAGAATCTAGAAGTGGTTGAGCAGTGCATTCAACGCAACTTTGCGGCAGAAGTGGGAAAAATCTTGAAGTTTGTTGCAGCTGTTGCATGGGCATATATGGCAACAGATACGTGGGCCTTACCTACTGTGACACTCCAACCTTTGATGCAAGGCAAGGCAGCTGCAGCCGCGTCCTGCACTGCAGGTGGGTTGGGAGTTTATTACTTGCCCCTTGTGGCATTTCTGCAAGGGTCGAAGTGGTGGAAGTGTAGCATTTGTGTCAAGTGCGTCTCACAGAGTTTCCCTCGTCAAACGCAGACTGAACGTGGCAGGCTCCCAGCACTTTGCCTTGGAGCTGTCAGCTGCTCATGCAAATGAGATGGGTGCTTTGACGGTTCTATTTCTTGCGCTGCCTGCTACGGCGGTTGAACCTCTGGAAGTACAGTCCTTGGACGCTGTTTGCAAATTTGCAGCGTCATTGCGCCCCGTGGGCGATGTAGTTGGGAAGCCACGAACGGGATTTGGCCTCAAACCTGCTTATCCCAAATCAAGCAACGGTCTCATCCTAGTCCTCACTCCTAAAACGAGCCCAGCGGGTGATCAATCCCTTACTTCACATCTGGCCCTTGAATGTGCAAAGCTAGCGGAGGATGCCATGGCAGTGTCAGACAAAGAACTCCGACACAAGCTGCCGATAGTACCTGCGCTTGTAGCATACAAGATGCAGCCATTTGGCCAAGATGTCATTGCATGGGGAGGCTCAGATACCGCTGATGTTTCTGACGCAGCAGGTATGCCAACCGCACCTGCAGAATCAACAGTTGCCGCATCAGTCACAAGCACATCACAGCCAGTACAACAATCGCAACCATCACAATCTTCATATGCTCCAATTACGCCGCGAGTTTCTATATCAGTGTGGCAGAAGATCGCGGAGTTGGACAGCTTTGATGTTGATGCATGGTGCAGAGATATGCAGCAGCACGGGCGATCGTCTTCCGATCAAATCATGGAGCTTTCAAAGATCGTGACCCAGTTCCAAGATCTGCTTCGATTTCTGGCCAGTCAGGTGCTTTCACCAAACCATGGAAACACTGGGCCGCGGGAGGCACACGGGGAATCGCTGCGTGAATCTCAAGATTCCATGGTTTCCCCAAGACTGATCGCCAGTCCTTATGCTACAACTCCTTCACGACAAGTCCTACCGGCTCATGGAACGCATAGCCTTGCATCCACAGGAAATCTGGTGGCACTGTCACCAAGAAATCCCACAGACCGACGCTGCTTGGCTGTGAATGATGCTTGTTGAGTCTTTTGATCAGTCTCTTGATTCGCTTCTTCCATATCTTCAATTCCAGACAAACAGCCTCAGCAGATGGTCTCATTGAAACGCCACAGCTGAAGACAGTTGATGCTTCCTTACCATTGTAAGGTGGGGAGAGCCTTAGCAGTTCTCCATTGACGCGGAGCTGCTCCGCAAACTACCCGGTGGGAGCTTTGGCTGCACTGGGCTTTCTCTTAGAAACCAGGCGAACCAACTCTGGGACCGAAGATATATTAAAAATATTGCATGTTCAGACAATTTCAAATCATTAAGCCGTAAGCATCCGTAAGCGAGTTTCTGTATATGCGATTACATGCATGCATCACGTACGGCATCCATCCATGTATGCTTGCGCACGCATATGTACGTATATGAGCATATACATGAGTACACAAGTATGTGATTACATGCGTGCATACTGATTACATACGTGCATATTGATTACATACGTGCATACATACACACGCGTGGGCGTACATATGTAAAGAAGCGCGCAAACATAGATGTATTCCTTTGATCACATATGATCATATCTTGAGTCCGTCCTAATAGCTGTAACAGTCAAAAAAAGGATATCTTTATATTTTGGGCGAACGTTGTTTTGAGTGTTTTCCTTCGTGCACAAAATCGTGCTTTTCGGTGCTTTCCCTCGTGCAAAAAATCGTGCTCTAGATCCCGCTTTTTGGTGCTCTCCCTCGTGCACAAAATCGTGGTTTTTGGTGCTCTCCCTTGTGCCAAAAATCGTGCTTTTTGGTGCTTTTTGGTGCTCTTCCTCATGCCAAAAACCGTGCTCTAGATCGTGCTTTTGGTGCTCTCCTTCGTGCCAAAAATCGTGCTTTTTGGTGCTCTCCTTCGTGCACAAAATCGGGGTTTTTGGTGCTCTCCCTCGTGCCAAAATCGTGCTTTTTGGCGCTTTTTGGTGCTCTCCCTCGTGCCAAAAACCGTGCTCTAGATCGTGCTTTTTGCAGCTCTCTAAGCCCGTGCCTTAGACCCGCGCCTTACACAGAGACACCACAGTATGCTCTCCTTCGGGCCAAAAACCGTGGTTTTTGGTGCTCTCCCTCGTGCCACAAATCGTGCTTTTTGGTGCTTTCCCTCGTGCCAAAAATCGTGCTCTAGATCGTGCTTTTTGGTGCTCTCCTTCGTGCCAAAAATCGTGCTCTAGATCATGCTCGCTGTTACAGCTATTAGGCTACTGTCAAATCATATCATATTGGATCAGATATGATCAGATCACAGTTTCTATTCCCGTGACGTGTTCAAACGGCAGCTGGTGCAGGGTCAGTGCTGCAACAGAAGGGAGGCACTTGGAGTGGTCTGCGAGAGGTTCAGTCACCAAAGACTTTGACCAGGGACCTCTCGCCTGCAGAGCTTCGCATGTTGCGGCTCGGACGCTTCAGTGGCCAGATATTATATGTCCAGATGTGATACGTCCAATGAACAGAAAGAATTGTGATCCTGGGATGCTGGTTTCTATAACTTCAAGTTTCATTTGGTTCTGATTTACTCTTGTCTGAACTCGGAACGCCTGGCCGACTGCAGGACGCTCTTGGACTGGATGAATTGACAAGAGATATATATCACAAATGATCCACAGCTCTCTCAAGAGGCCCAGGTCTATGGTGTTGTGATGCTTTTGATCAGGAATGCATCTTCGCAGCCACTTCCGCCAGGAAACTTGTCGCCCTGGCATTTCGATGTGTCTCGTTGTTTCGTTTTGTTTTTGCATGTTCTGTCATGTTTGAAGCGCCATTTCAGCCAGGCGGCACCAATGTGTGCAACCAGCGAGCCCGTGGCAATCAACGCTGATGTCGGTTCCAACTGCTCTTATGGCCCGGCCCATTTTCGTAGCAATGCGCTCAACCCTGGAACTTTGAGCCTGTCAGCATCTTTTCTGACAGGCTCAATTGCATCCTGGGGAAGAGGTACATATTTTACGATCCCCCAGGACGTGCTCCTTATATCATTTATATCTCTTTGTGCAGTTCGTAAGTTCGTCCTTCTGTCTTTTGCTCTTGCTTAGCTGGCTTAGCCGTGTGCTGCTTGGCATTGGATGCAAGTTCTGTGTGGTAATTGGATCATATTGGCTGTGCTAGTTCTGTGAAGTCCACACCTTGAGGACCGAGCAAGGCTGACACCTTAGCGCGAGATGTTGGAATGGTTGTTTGCAGCCTCTCTTGTTCTGGTTTTCTGAGGCAGAGATCGAGGCGCATGCCTTGGAAACTGGCTGAAGCATCTTGAGGGGATCCAGATGAAAGCAGCGCAAAAGCAGAGCTCAGGTGAGGGGCAGCGGTCACCCATGCCCCAGCCGCCTCAGTTTGCCAAGGTGCAGAAATCTGAGTATGAGCCTAGCACATATGACTCATATGACATTACCAGACTAGAAATGCGGTTACTTCACAGGGCGTCTCTGTGAGGCTGTCGGACGGCGAGAGAGAGAGAGAGAGAGAGATGTGTGTGCTACTCTTCACTGCCATACAAAACCGCTTTCGGGACAAAAACATACATGAAACTCATTAAACCTTCTTGACACTTTGACTGGCAGAGGCTTCACTTTGAGGCAGTTCTTGGTTGCAGGCACATCCTCATTCTGCAAGAGCTGCCTCTGGAATCGTTTTTGCGGCTCACATAGCACTTGGACAGACACAAACAAGCAGCTGCTGCCCTGCCTGGCTTGTCCTGAACCATTCCCTGAGAGTGACAAGGTTCCTGGCCAACCAGTACCCAGACCACATCCTGCACGAAGCCCCACAGAAATGAGCGGCAGCAAGCTGCGCTGGGAGTGGTTGACCTAGTGTGAGCTTGAAAGATGAGCGACCAAGACAGTTCCGTGCTGTGTATGCTGTCGGGACCTTCTCATACGTTGTTATTTGAATTTCAAGTCGTGCTGTTATACTCAGGCCTTCTCCCTATCGAGCCTCTCAGCTGCACCCTGCAAGAGAATTCATGCTGGAGGGGATTTTTCACTTTGGTTTTGCTGGTGAGTACCTTGCGCATTTTTAAAACTTTGACATTCGCTGTAACTATGATTCCTCGATGCCTTCCCTGAAAGGCTGGTGGAATTCAAGCTGCGTTAATGCAGCTTGATGTCAAGATGTGCCAAGATTGGGACTCGTTGCGACTCAGGTGCGATTCATGTCAGCTTCCCAGCCTCAGGCGGCAGTGGCGGCAGCGGCGGTGGCGGCAGTTGGGCAATGGCTGGGCGGCCAGGGTTCCTTGCCTCAGTTGCCTTGCAGATGTTGCAGGTTCAGCTGGCACCTGGAAGCACAGCTGTGCCCCGTCCACTTGGTCCCCAGGCCTGGACCAGGATGGTGAGAACAACATGGATCAACGTAGTGACATGAAGTGGTTCAGTTTCAATGTGGCGTGATATCCTTGGATATTGAAATAAATTGGTTCAATATCGCAGGTGATGCCTCCGGCTCATCATGCACCTTGGACTTGGTAAAGATATGCAAGATACTTCACCAAGTCAAAAACCTTGAATGATACATTGCATCATTATTTTCGCTGGCCTAGGTTGCTTTAGGTCATCATGTCGGAGAGTTTCGCTTGGCACCCAGAACTATACAGCTTCAATCCAGTCACTTTGAGGCTTGTTTTGACAGTAGGGACACAGTTTCCATTTTCAGAGGTGCATGCGCTGGTGTGTCACACAGTGTGTCCCCAGCAAAGATTGTTTGAAGCCAAATGATGTTTCAGCAATCTACGAGCCTCAAGCCAATGCCACTGCCTAAAACAAGACTTGGCGGCCACATTGCCACATAGACTCTCCATACTGCTCCTGTGTATTGGCAATCCGCCGATTCGTTACAGAATAATTGCTTCTAAGGTGCATGCATGCGCACACACACAAAGAGACACAAGTGTGCGGCGACTACGAACCGGATGGCTCAAAGCACCAAGCTTCAGTTTGAACAACGGGGGTGCGTCACCTGCATGCAGTCATGTATAGTATGGTAAATGTAGCGGGATGCAATTTCCACTAGACGCGCACGATCCCTAAGCAGATTGGTTAGAGCAAAACCCTTCATTTCTCCTTTGACTACGGAGTGCAGTGACTCAGCTGTGCCAATCGCCATTGTGCCAGTTTGTCGCAGTCGTGGCCTCAGCGACTCGGGATCTAAGGAATCTCGGGATTTTGGCAGATCAACTGTCAACCATGCTCCGCATGACATTGCGCAACTGAGGATGGGTGCCAACTGTGCATCTAATGGCCAAGCCTGTGCACAGGGCGGGAGCCAGCAGTCACCCAGAACTCCAAAGGCTGAACCCATGCTGTGATGTGGGAGATCTGTTAGAGCTGCCAGAGCCATCCCATCTCTTTGATCCTGTTGACTGTGGCCAGGGGGAGGAGGATGACGTGTCCAGACTCACCATGTGGGAGCAAGATGTGGAAGCAGTGAAAGAGGACCGACCGAAGTCCAATCGTTTGGATCTGATGCGCGCAGGTTTCAGTCAGTAGAAGCACCTTTCGGCGTGGCATGTAGGAGGCAGCGAAGAGACAACAACGCCGAGAACAAGAAGCCGCCGCCCGGCAAGCCTGCAGTCTCAGTTCCCGTGTCACCTTGTGATTGACTTGCTGCGGCTTGCATTTCCAAGCTGACTGAAGATCTCAACGCAGTATCATTAATCATGCGCAACCATGTTTTCTTTCATTCTTTTTCTGGTGGCTCATTGTTAGGCGAGAATAGAAGCTGTAGAGATGGCGGCAGAGGAGGGACGGGGAGGAAAAGAGGTCAAGGACTCAAGGACTCAACATTTGTATATTGATCCAGGCATATCCAGCCATGAAGTGGCCTTACCGGTGCTGCCTCTGGGAGCTCTCAGGTCAGTGGAGCAACCAAGACCAAGACCAAGACGCTTGACCGCACTGAATGCCATGCTGAATGCCCTGCTGAATGCCCTGCCTCTTGATCTTATTCCACTGCGCTCCCTGATTCTTTCCTGGTTTTGCTTGGCAAGCCCTTAGTGCATTGGAGGCCAGAAAAAGCTAGCAAAGAAGGTAAGACAAAGGAGATTTTGCATGATTTTGCTTTTTTATCGATTAAAATGCATTCAGCTGACTCTTTTTTACGGATCTTGCCAGTGTCACCAGTGCTTTTGCATGACTTTTTTTTGTCTCCTTTTTGTGATCCAGAAACTGTGACCTCGGCACCTTGTGGCCAGGAGGCGCCTGCATCAAAAAACGGAGCTCCCGTTGCGGATGTGGAGATGCCAAAGGCTGAGGACGGCATCGCCTCAGACTCGGCTCAGTAGCCCCAAAGGATGCCATAGAGATGCCATGATTTTCATGGTCTTCACTCTGCATTCTTCACCTGCAATGAGTCTAAAGACCAAAGAGTAAAGTTCAGTGTAAAGTGGCCCGAAGGAGCGGACCAAAGAGCCTGCACAAGAGCCACCAGCTCCGCCAGCACTACCTTCGCCAACACTAGCTTCACCAACACTACCTTCACCAACTCTGCTAGATTCAGCGAAGCCCCAGGCACCCACTCAAGAAGTACATATAGTACTTGTAAGTGATTAGACCATGGAATCATTTTCATGAAACAGAAAATTTGCGTACATGCAGCCACAAACCGCCCCATCATTTGCCTGCAGGCTGTAGATGGCAATGTGCAAAAAGAAATCGAAGAGGCGATACTGGGATTGGGCATTGTCATCCCAATACGTTTCGGCAAGAGACACATTCTAGATTTAAATATACATAGCAATTTTCCTGGTTCCAATCTAACACCAGTTGCCAGGTGTTGCGATAATTGTCGCATGTTGTTGCGATGTGATTGATTTTGAGTCAGCTTGCTTCAAAAACTCTGATGTGAGAATACCTCAGGTACGAAAGACCGTAGCTGACCTGCCGCAGCCAACAGAGACCTGTAATCTCAGAACATTGCCAGCAGCTCTCATCATTCTGTTTCTGTATGCTTTCTGTATTTCGGGATCCTGAGAGATCCTTATCTTGCCGAGGTCTTTGGTGCGATATCTGCTCGAGGTGAAGATCGTCTCCGCAAAAAATGTACCCGCAGAGGAAAAACAACAATTTGCCCCTTAACTGCAGTAACTAGAGTAACTAGAAGGTACCTGCAAGGTTGAATGCTTGACATGCCTGGTGTGTTGTAGGGTCACTATGCGTTGCTATTGAAATCTATTTGAGATCTGTATCATGTAGTCTATATTATATTGTCTATATCTATATTCAGTAACTTTCCAGGCTGTGGGCTTAGCAAGGTGCAACTTGGCAGCAGCTGATGTTGGACTGGGCGGGCCATGGTGCAAGGTGCGGAGGAAAGCGGATGCGGTCGTTACGTGGCAAGGGCCTGGCGGTTGACTCCGCTTAATTCACCCGAGGTGATAATGCAGTGAAGTTTCGGACAAAAACAGCCGCCACAAGAGAGAAGGCTGTTACTTGTCAGCAAGACTCCACAGACAACAGGACATATATGACATTTCGGCAATCTCTTCTAGCTGTCGGAGAGTATCGGAGAGTTATTGTATATGTTGTTCCTTCTCGAGATCGCTGAGGTGTGGAACCAAGCTTCGAAACTGCAGATAGCGCACGGTGACTTCCTTACTTTCAGAGTTCAAGACAAGGACGGGCTCAAAGGCTGAGGATTGTGGCCATAACTGGCCTATGACAATGATCATCTATGCCAATCTATGCACACGTTCTCTTCTTTGTGTACGTTCACTAGGGCGTGCCAAGATTCTGACCCACAGCTGCATGCTGCCACTGCAGCCGGTGGAGAAGCCAGGATTCTGAAGACCCAATGGCCTTCATTGCAAGAACTAACCTTGACTTTGATCGCATGCTCCCAGCAGGTATGGGCTCCGGTTGGTGTGCCTTTGTTGTGTCGAAAGATTTCGTTGACGGTTTCATTTCAATTTCATTTCCATTTGATCATGGCATCGAAGGTTTTGAAGATGAGCTGGACTTGGAGGATACAAGCGGGAACAAGGCTAGGAATTAGCAAATCAGCAAATCATTTGAATCTAAATCATTCTAAATCATCTTACATTGAAGAAGTGATGTCCTTTCTTTGCCCATCTTTGTCTTTGGGCCGACCTTTCACATGGATCAAAGAGCAAGTGTAAATCTCTTGCGCTTCGAACCCATCAGGTGGCGGGTTCCGTTCTCAAGGCACTTCGGCATGAACTGCAAATTCAAGCCATTTCTTTAACTTTTCCATCTTTTCCCTGGGCTTTGAGCACAGCAAGGTGAGCTGTGAGCCTATGTGAGCCTACGTGAGCTGTATCATAGATTGTATCATGCTGTATTTGCTCACATAGTCAGGTCCGTGTCCGAGTTCACGGAGCTCGGGTGGCGACAGGTCAGGAGTGATGCGCCAAGTGCCCGAGTATCCCGAGTGACAGAGGATGGCTTTGAGTACATGGTACGGCCTCCAGCTCCGTGGCCGATTTCGGTCAAGTCACACAGCCCAGTCATTTTTGTCAAGTTCAGACTTCTAGTTTACTGTATCTATGTTGTTCGACTAGACTATTTCAGCAGACTTATGGTTTTTAAAAACTATATATAGTTTACATTATTTGATTACTGTATGTTCTTCGGCGTGCGAGACTTTTGTCATAATGCCTGGGCTGTTGAAGTTGCACGTTCTTGCACGTATCACCATGGTGGTCCTTCCCCTCAACGTGATGTCGGACAGATGACCTGAAGGCTGACAGCCTTCTGGGGTGCCATGTAAGGGTATGCCTTTTTTTTGAATGTGCGAATGGTGCCATCCAAAAAAGACGTTTTCGAAGTTCTCTTGACAATCGTCCGGCTGCGTTCCCGCAGATGTTGGTGGAAGCAGGAGAGGGGTGCGGAGTGCAATTTTTCTGTGTCTCACCAGACCAGCAGCAGGTCAGTGCTTTTAAAAGAGAGGTGAAATATGTTGAAATTGTTCAGTAGAAGGGTTGGTGAATGGATAGATAGATAGATAGATAGATAGATAGATATATATATATATATATTAAATTGTTTGCAATATCGCATAATTACCTCCAGAACTCCAATTGCGAACGACCTGTTGACATACAACCTGGATGGCGCGCGAATTCCGCTGCAATCCGCTTGCGAGTTTGCGCCAAAGGTCACTTCTTAAGACGTCCCGGCGTTCGTAAAAGAGTGTGAAGGATAGAGTCAGACGTGAAGGCCCTTCATGCTTGTGTGTTCTGGAGCTTTCTGAAGCTTTTGGACCTGCTTGAAGGACCTCCTGTGTTGGGCGGCGGAAAGGCCCTCGCTTTGTAACGCGCCTGATCATCATGATCTTCATCACCATCCAAGGCCATATATATATATATATATATGTACGCATGTTTTACTGATGAACGTGTGGGCAGCTTCTGACTCAAGCGTATGGAACGGCCGTTAGCAGTTGGGTCTGCCTCAGGGGTTGCTTCCACCTTAATCTTTGCCTTCTTACGCAATTTGATTCAGGACTATCACCATCCTATTGAGGTGCCATCACTGCCACTGCCTGTTGAGTGCCCCCACATTGACCTTGAGGACATCCCTTTCTGGACTTTCCTGACAGGTGTCTGGAGCTCTGTTAGGGCCAGTGATTGATTGTCTCACCCTTGCGCGTCAACGGTGGAGGCGCTTTGTGCTCAGTGCTTTTGCTCATGAGCGCAGAACAGGGCGCCAGCCTAGGGATTCATCTAGGCCCTTGCATAAGGTGATTGCATGAGCCGTGGGGCTGCTTCTCCGAACATTGACAGTGAGGGCAGGCTGCGTGAAGAGGTTAGGTCTTTGAGAGACGAGCTGCGGAGGTTGACTTTGAGGGTTGATCAACAGGGTGACCAGTTGAGTGATCTGCAAGATTCTTTTTCTGCCAGCATCTCTTCTCAGTCCTTTGAGGTGGTGAGTGGTGTGGGAGCTGCGTCTGCACCATCTGCAGCGCCGACTCCAACGGGCCTCAGCTGAGCCTCCAGTGGAGGATCCGCCTAGTGATCCTTCGGGACCCTACACTTGGGAGTTCCGCAAGACGGTGGCACGTGAGATCGGAGCTTTCTTGAAGCGAAGTCTTCAGGGAGAACATCGAGGCGAATCAGGACGCAACAAGATTCGGGCTCTCCGGAATCGAGTCTGCATTGTGGTCAAAGCTTTTCGAAGGTGGTCAAAGCTTTTCGAAGGTGAAGGCCTTGTGCTACAAGAACGGCAGTTGGGTGGATTCAGTTTTTGAGGGGGTACCCTCCTACGGGGAGGCATCCATTGTTGTGAGTGCCGCAGGCCTGCAGTGGCCTAGCGAGTTCCAATGAGTGAGCCATCCATTGACGGTGAAGCCCTCTCCGACCCGGGGTTTCACGAAGACGAAGGGCCGGATCCAACAGCTCTCGGGCCCAGAGACTTTTTGGTTGCTCAGGCTGACGGCTCGGTTGACCATCATTACCGAGTCGGACGCCTTGCATTGCCTGAGAGTGGAATTTTGGTTTCAGCTGTTGCAGTGGCAGAGATTGAGGGGAGGCTTTTGGTCGCAGTTCTTGAAGCAGTCTAGCATAAAACAATTGCCCGGCGGCTCTTGTCTCCTCGAGCTCTTGCGAAGCCTACTATTTTGTGCTCGGTCGCAACTTGCGGCCTTGAAAGCCGCCAGCTTGCCGGCTTTGAGAGCCTTGACATCAAAGTATGGTTTGGGCTTCTTCATCCAGTTTTGGAACCCGACGTGGACTACGTCTCCGAAGAGGACATCGGCCACACGTTCACGCCAGAGGGGCATGCAACTCTGCTTCCTTATGGCCCGGCTCTGGTGGAAGTGGCGCAGGCGCATTTTGCCTTCAGCACGGCGGACGAAGGGCTGCCGGATGGAGTTCCAGAGTGTCCCCCTGCCGCTACAGAGATGAGCGAGCAGAGGCTTCAGAGATTCAGCGAAGCCTACAGCAGTTGATCGGGGCTCAGGTTGGATCTGCCCCTGGCCCGACCTCTACCTCCAAAGCCAGATCCTCCCACACAGAAGGCCGTGGCAGCCTCCACAAGCGGCCAAGGTGCAGAGGCCGGGTTGTCAGGGTTTGGCCCGGAAGTGGTGCAGTCAGCCCTGGCTGCCGGTATCCCAGTAGAGCACCTCAGGGAGATGAATGCAATTTTGAAGTCAAAGTCCTGCCCGTTGGACGAACTGCCTCGCCAACGCCCTGACCTCCGGCGAACCAATGTGTGCCGGAGCGACCATCCGAGGATGGCTGCCACAACCACGTGAGATGGTGTTGGCAAGTTGCCGGCATATGGGATGCCCTGATTGCGGGGCGGGTGGCGGAAGCACGAGCTCGCTGCGGGCTCCTGATTGCTGCAGCAGACCAGGCCAGCATCGATGCCAGAAACTGGGTGGTGTCAAATGTCGCCCTGCTGGAGGCCCCACCTCCATATCAAGCGTTTGCCCAGCATCAGATTCCAGGCCCCTTGGAATTGCGGCACGGCGTGATCTACGACCACAGGTGGGCGGAGATCTTCTTGGGGCATTTGCGGGAGGTGGATTCATTTGTGGATGCCAAGAAGAAGCTGGGGAGTGGAAAAGGGGCGGCCAAAAAAAATAGCCGACAGCAGCAATGCAGAGCCAAAAGCAAAGGCGAAGCCGAAGGCCAAAGAGAAGGCCGATCGAGGCAAGAAAGGCCAAGAAAGCTCCGGTCAGGAGGCCGGGAGCTCGAGCCATGCGTGATGGAGCCTATGAACCTGCCTGAGGGGGCCGGCTCAGGTGGGATTGAAGCAGATTTGCACCGGTCTTCGCGAATTCATGCCCCTGGAAGTGCGGCTTCTACAGTCAGTGGATGTGGTGTTCTGCATATATAGCCTCCTGCGGCATCTACTAAAAGGTCGCTGTCGCCTAGGAGCTTTTTCGAGAAGTTTGCTTGCCTGGCATTTTGCGCCTTCCAGTGGGGAGGTGACAGGCTCCTCAGAGATCTTTCCCTTGCCGCTGCCTTACCCTGAGGTTTTTCAAAAGAAGCACAGAGCGGAAGATGCCCGTGGCGCACTGAAGAAGGGGTTGTGGTGGTTGTCATCGTTTTGAACTTCCTCTTCATGCAACGTAGCAAGAGTGTTGGTGATGCGTTTGGAGGGCAGAAGCGGCTGACAAAAAGTCAATGGGAAGCTGTCGGAAGGATAGAAAAGTTTCTGAGAGCTTGGACGGAGGTCTCACATATCACTCCTGAGGTCATGGGCAGAACTTCTGGCAAAGTTGAGAGCCTGGAAGCCAGTCTGACCGAGCTCATGAAGTGTGCAGATGCTCTAGCGAAGCATTTTGTTCCCCACAGCAGGAAGATAAACCTGGAAAGCCCGTCAGCATGCCTCCATCTACAGGGCAATTTTTGAAGACGCCCGGCTTCAGCACTTTCAAGCAGGTGGATGCCTCCAGATTGAGTTTTGTTGGGTCGCCAGCCTTTGACCCGACACCATACCTGGACGCTCTCAGCAAGCAGATCTTTACAGATCCCTTGAGCTGCAGGATGGGCCCGGCCGACTGTTTGGTTCGACCGCCCAAGTTGAGGATTCACTGCAGCCAGAGTGAGACGGTGAAACTGTTCAGCTTGTTAGATGCTTCAGGACGCCTGCGGGTTCATCTGCCGCATGAAGCCAATCCCAGTTTCGGATCTGGCTTATTTGCAGTGGCCAAGGACTTAGAGAAGGACAGACTCATCTTGGATTCGACCTTCTTGAAGAGCCTCCCCAGCGGTGGATCCGGTCGTTGGCGTCGGCAGAAGTTTTGTGCAGGATGACGTTGGATGATGATGAGGTGCTTTGTTCCTCTGGCCACGACTTGAGGGATTTTTATTACCTTTTTCATGCGTCTTCGCCCCGGAGCCGGAGGAATGTTTTGGTTGGAGCCATGCACCCAAAGGAACTTCTGCACCTCAGCGCCTTGAAAACGGAGCACCTTTCTTCCAGCTTCGTGTATGGAGCTTTGGGATCGCTTGCGATGGGTGATTCTCAGGCAGTTGAGTTGGCGCAGAGCTGCCATTTGGGCTTGGCTCTGCACCACTATGTACAAACCACTGCCGCGCTGTGCTACAATGTTTGGCTTGGTGATAGATGATTTTGTGGCCTTGAGTAGGGTTCCTCGGCGGAGCTTTGTCGCCGGGGAAAGTGAGGGTGCTAGTGGCGCTGACAAGATGCAAGCCGCCTATGAGGAGGTCAAGCTTATCCCAAACAAAAAGAAGGCATTTAGAGATGAGCTGCAGGCCTCGTTTTGGGGGGCTGATTTGGATGGAGAAGAGGGTATAGTCAAAGGCTCCTTGAAGCGAGCCATCCCGTTGGCAGGGCTTATCCTGCGCCTGGTGAGAGCTGGCCACTGCTGTGGCAACGTCATGCAGATCATTCTGGGCTCAGTGATTTCCCTCTTTCTTTTCCGGCGGAGGTTT